AAAAAACAAACAAATAAATAAATAAAAACCTAATTACTCTCCCCCTTCCCCCTACCAAAAAAAAAAGAAAAAGAAAAGGGAACGAATCATCCCAGAAGCAGGTCTCAAAGTCTCTTCAGAGTTATGTCTTAGAATAATAAATACCACAGAATGATAAAATGCAGCATGAATATTAAACAGAAACAATTTTTATATCATTTCTTATAAGTCATCCATGCTCTGTCATTTTATTAATAATATATATATTTTATTGCCCTATTTTACAAAACTCCTGGTGGTTATAGCTCAAGGCTAGTAATCAGAAGGGTTCCAAAGTTCTTTTCAAAGTACATCAGTTATCACGGGGGTAATCTTAGCCCAGAAAAAAAATTCACCCTTAAAACCTAGGATTTTAGGACCATTTATTGTTTCATAAAACACACTGAATGATAATTACAATAGGCAGCTGTAGATAACACATATAGTCCTAATAACAGATTAGGGCCCCCCAGGAATTTATCCTGCTTTTGAGGTAACTATTTTCAGTCAGTGGGTAAGTGCACAAGATGAGAAAAGAACAGAACACCTATTATTAGCTTAAGGTTAACTATCAGCAGGGTCTTTCCAAGTACAGCAAGTCATTTTTGAATTATCCGCAATTTGGGGTTGTTCATTCCACTACAGACTTCATGTGTATTGAGTATCAGTGTTCCCCGCCCTCAGACCTGGGTGGGCTCTGTGCGCTGCAGCCTTGTCACTCAAAGTGTGGTCCCACGGAACAGCAGCACCCACGCCACCTGAGAGCTCGTTCGATGTGCAGAATGCCAGGTCCCATCCTCGTATGTTTGATCTCATATTTTAATAAGATCCCGAGGTCACTCCTATGCACAGAAGAGTCTGAGATGTCCTGCTTTGGAAGGCTCTGCTCCAGCCACCTGGAACCTTCTCACTCTCCCTGGAGTGAGGCAATCCCAGGTCCAAGTGGCTGGTCTACCCAGAGCCTGGGCCCCTCCTCTTCTAAACCACATCCTGGGAAACTATGATCCTGGAATTTCCTGCCCAGGAGACACAAGTATGCTTCAGGGCGTGTGTGTAGCTCCTTCCCCAGTCTGACTCTGGAGGGCTGACTGTGCAATAAGTGTGCGCACCCCTTGACCTGAGAGAGAGTTCAGAGGTGCTTATTTCCGTAGGATGAGAACCAAAGCTTTACATTTGGTCTGGGTGTCCATACACGGGCACAAAACCACTTCAATCCTGGATGGAGCCATGGGTGGAAATCTCTTTGTCTTGGCCACATAACTTAATCATGATGTCAACATCTCATCCCAGGCACAAGCCCTCCCCTACACTCAAGGGGAGGGGAGGATACAGGCCTGCAGAGCAGGGGGCAGAATCCTGGGGCCATCTGAGATTTCTGCTTACCGTGTGTTTGTACTTTTCTTTTCCAGAACTCTTCTGCCTATTTTAAGTCCTTTGCATTTTCACTTGAATTTTAAAATCTCAGCGTGTGAATTTCTACAAAAATATCCTCCTAGAATTATGACTGTACTGAATCAATATATTCAGTTTGGGGAGAAATGACATCTTAACAACACTGAATCTTGTAACCCATGAATGTAATCTATGTCTCCATTTATTTCAATCTTTAATTTCTCAGTGTTTGTAGTTTTCAGTGTACAGGTCTTGCACATATTTTGTTAAATCCATCCCTAAGCATTTCAAGTTTTTTATGCTATTGTAGATGGCATTAAATTTCTTTTTTATAGTCTTTGTTACTAGTATATAAAAACACAAATGATTTTTGTATATTGGCGCGGTATCCTGTATCTTTGCTAAACTCACTTAGCAGTTTGAGTAGTTTTGTTATATATTATTTTTGGCTTTTATATGCATATGGTCTACAAATGAAGTTGGACTTTCTCATTTCTTTACAATTTGTATGTCTTTTACTTCTTTCTCTTTTCCTATTGCACAATTTTGACTAGAAGTGATTAAGAGTGAGCATCTTCACCTTCTTTATCTTAGGGAAAGTGTTCAGTCTTTTAACATTTCAGTTTGATATTAGCTGCAGGTTTTTCTTAGATGCCTTTCATCAAGTTGAGGGAAATCTCTCCTATTCTTAATTTACGTATGTAATGAATAAGTGCTGAGTTTTTTTCAGATAGCTTTGCTGCATATCTTCAGGTGACCATATTTTCTTTTCCCTCCTTTTTTCTGTTAATGTGATGAATTATACTGATTGATTTTTAATGTTAAACCAACCTTTAATTCCTGGACATTATGTATTATTATTTTTATATATAGCTTTACATATATCATTTTTATATATAATATGTCTTTTTTATATATTATCTCATATATATCTCATATATAAGTAATATATATCATTATATATGTTTTTTATATATTATATAAATATTTATATTCAACTTGCTGATATTTTGTTGAGTTTTTTTCCCACCTTTAGTCATGAAGTATATTGACCTCTAATTCTTTTTTTTCCCCTCATAATACCATTTTCACTTTTGGTTACTATATAACACTGGCCTCAAAAAATAAATGGGGATGTGTTCTCTCCTCTATCTTGCGAAGGAGTTTGTGCAAGATTGGTATTATTTCTTAGACTATTTGATCGACTTCTCCAGTGGTGTCATTTGGATTTGTAAGTTTTCTTGTGAGAAGATATAATTATGAGGTCAATTTCTTTAATAGATATACAGGGTTCAGATTTTCTGTTTTTTCTTGAGTTACTTTTAATCATTTTTGCCTTTTGTAGGATTTCTCCATTTCATCTAAATTTTTAAATTTAGAAAGTTGTTCTGAATATTTCACTATGGAAATCAGCACATGCTAAAAAAATCAGGCATTTTGTCTGCAGAGAGCCAGTTGTTAATGTTCACCAGCACACCTCTGTTGACAGCTCCCTTCTGTCCACCAGGAGTGAACATTCACGGTGTCCCCACCACACACACGCAAAGCACTGTGGGGTCAACACTTACCAGTGCAATTCGGTCAATCCTTTCACCCCTACTATACATTGAAGGAATTAAACGGGTTATTAACAGTGAAGTGACTTTCAAGAAAGTGTTAGTCACCTTTCTTAGTGTAACACTAGAAAGTCAAGAGGTACAGCTAACCGAGCAGTCAGCCTCCTAAATAATGCTTGAGATATAAACACGGCACAGATGGTAGCTTCTTGGCTTCCTGCACTGATATCCTCTCGATGGTACGGTCATCAGCAAACCCAAAATAAGTTTGAACTCTTCCACCAGGGCATGGATATGAACAAAAATAGGTTCCCTTGGACAGGCTAAGCGATACCGAGACGTCCTGCTGTTGTGAAGAAGCGCCTTCGCTGGCCGGGACCCAGGGCCAGCTACTGCTCAGCACCACCTGCTGCTTCTCAGCTGCCAGGACCAGGATACTGTACTTGGACTGAGAGAAGGAGGAGCACAGTCCGTTTCCAGTCCTCCAAGCCTCCCAGACAACACACTCGTGTGACAGCCGGTCCCTGAGGCCTCATCTGAACCCCTTGGAAGGATCAGAAATAAACACAAAGGAAAACTAAATTCATACTTTGATGCTTTTTGTAAGGAGTCCCTTATGTGCAGTCCAGTAGAAGATAACCAGCTTTGGTCCACTTCTAAGGAGAAGCTTTACAGATCACTGGGAAATTCCTTGGAGTTTAGTAAAACTAATTAGGATGCGAAGGATGTTGCAGGGAAATCAACCCTGGAGGAGGCTAAAGAGAAAAGTCACTAATCTAGAGATTTGTCTATGAAGGCCATGTAGCATGACTGCAAACGTCCACCGTA